ACCTTAAAGGACTAACCTATGAGTCAATATTCCTTTAGGCATATCAAGCCTTTTATATGATGGATCTTGATTATATCATATATTTTGTATCACATGAGGTAAGCTTATCTGACATATCACTATCAAAATGCATCAAGTCCTTGTACGTTACTGAAAACATACCCAATTGCTCGAGATGCCTGAATTTGAGGATGGCACCCGTATCAGGACCACAAGTTATTTACATCTCTTGCCTTCAATTTTCTTATTGAATTTGGTTGAATTCTCCCTTTCAAATTTGTTAAAAATCTTCGCTACAGATGGTTAAAAGAGGTTAAAATTGGATTAAGGGTTTGTAGCTTAGATCTAGGGTCATGGCTTCTAAGATCTAGGGTATGAATATTAAGGCTCTACAACTAAGGTTTAGAAGACTTAGTCTAGGGTTTTATTCTTTGGAATTTAGTTTAGAAAAGTAGGGTTTAAGTCTCTAAAGGGTTAGGCACTCTAAATTCTAGGGGTACTATTTAAAATTGGGTGTTGAGATTTGGGATTTGGGTCGTGTTGTGAATGACTCGACATAGAACCTTTATATAAGCTTCAAAAGTTGGTTCCAAGTCGGTTGGGAATAGTTCCACTAGATTACACTTAAAATTTTGGGTTGATTGCATCAAAGAATCTAGACGTCGTGGTATGTGTGATTAGGTAGTTTCTAGGCAGACGCCTCGAAGTGCTGCATCTAGGGTTTTCTGGCCAAAGAGCTAGATTTTCGGGGGTCAGAGGCTTAGATGCCACGGTGTGCAGCATTTAGGGTTTTTTCTGTCCAAACGCCACGTGCCACGGTGTCCAGACCGCTATGCAGCCAAATTTTTGATATTTTGTTTTGGTTGATTCTTAACTCCATTCTTGTCACTTATTGATTGGATATATCCAGAAATCCCTTATCCTAGGCTGGTTTTATCCTTTAGGATGACTTTTCTAGATTTTTAGGATGACTTCCTCTGTTTTTAGGATTCTTGAGAGATTCTCAAAGATATTATTGCAGGCTATGGACATGTTTCAAGGGATTATGGATCATATGAAAGGTAGCCTAAGGTCTACTAGGATAATATGGTCCTAAAGGTTTACTAGGCATTCTTAAGTCTTCTTTTTGGATTTTAGGGTTGGAAAAAATGAGGGAAATTTGAGAACAATAGCCAGTTTCAAAATGGAGTGTCTACAAGATTTTAGGAATTATATATTTCCAATATGAAAATCTCATTAAAAGATAGGAGTTCCTGGGATAAGCTTTATCACTTTAAATAGCAAGATAAGGTAAGAGTCCCACATGCAATCTCTTTTAGATTTCTTTCTTTTTTCTATAAATACACATGTAGAAAGAGAAAGAGTTAAAAATGTCTAGAGAGTCCGTAGGTTGTATAGAGACAGAAAAATCTTGGATGTATAGAGAGAAATTGTAGAGAAGCTAATTGAAAGATTGAGTTTGTCTCTAGTTCTCTCGAATCAAAGCATTCCTGTGCTCTTTGCTTTTCAGTGAATAATAAAATTTGTCAATCATTTTGTTTTGTGGATATAGTCACATCTATGATGAACCATGTAAAATCTCGGTATTCTTTTTGCATTATTTCTTGTTGGGCTTTCTTGCTTATTGCTTGCTTGTAGACAGCTGTATTTTTCTAGTTCTTTACTTTGCCAAAAAATCAACTCATCATGTTTTAGAGCTTCCTCGTAAGAACCATGAACAATGTTGTTTAATCGCAATTCTATTTGATACTAGGTGCTATTCCTTAAAAATGATGGGCACGATTGTTTCCTTTGACTTGTCATCTTTTTTTGTTTTTAATAATTGTTAAACAGAGAAATAGTACATTTGAAAATCCAGAGGAAATTTGTTCGACTCTTATACAGTGGAAATGGCAATGACTGCAAGGAATCTATAGATTTTAAAATTGGTTTCCAAACATTAAGATTTGAGAAATCTTAAAACATGAGTATTTGATTTTCAAAATCCACACTTTTTAATATAAAAAATTCTTGATTTTTTACTCCTACCAAAATGGGCTCGATAAAAAATGAATCAAATTAATTTCAATGAGTTTGCAGGCCAGTAGTCAACCTTGGGAAAATCCCACAAGGCGCCAAGCCGAGGCAAGCAAGGATTGAGGTACTTAAAATGGAAAGTTTTGAAGTTACATAATTTGTTTAAATTCGACTAAAAAGTGTTGGTAAATTCTATTTAATCATCCTTGGAAAATGATTGAACTTATAGAATTCGCTCTATTTGTAGCTCAAAAGATCAGTAAATTAAGAAAGGGATTGGGATCCTCGCATCCCTACACCCAAGTACCATATCGTGGTATCCAATTCTACCGCTGACACCCCCAATTAACACTTTCAAAATATAACTCTCCGAACTATTGAAAAAACAGGCAGGTGCATGTCTTCCCCAATTGAATTATCCACACAAAAAAAAAAAACAGTTCACAAACTTGGCAAGGGCTCTGGACCGAGGCCATGCCAGAGCTAGTAACTCGGGCAAGTTCAACTTGACTCGCCTGAGTATTATATGGAAAAAATAATAATAATAATTTAAAAGAAATAATAAATAATAAATATCAAACTAAACTAAAGATAACATTAAGGGATTGTATACAATGAGACCATTTACCTTTGATAACCATAAGATTGAAAATTATATATAATATGGATTTAGACAAAAATAATTTATACTTGAAGAAATTTTAGAAAAATAAAAAACAAGGAAAATATAAAATATATGACATAAACACTCCCAAATCATCATAAGAAAACATCAAAATTACATACCTATCATTTGTACATTGATTTTACAATTCAACATAATGTGATAATTTTAAACTTTTTAAATATCCCAAAGTTTTACCTGAGTACTAGGCTAGGCAAGGGAGACCAGCCAAGCTTTCGATGACTAGAAAATTCAATTAATCATCATGAAAGTCTTGAATTCATGAACAATTGTTATTAAAAATATCAGCAAATTCCCCTAATATCAATAAAACTCACTTGAAGACTAATATTTTGAACAAATGTTCTTGAATTCTAACAACCCCGAAAGATTGAAATAGTGTTTTGAGTGGAAAAATGGAAGGGGAAGGGTGGGCCATGGCCAAGCCACCATTGCCCAAGGGCAGAGCTAGGCCGGGAGAACCAAGGCCACAACTGCCATTTTAAGGCCAACCTAGCTCAACCATTTTTTCTTTTTTTCTTTTTTGTTGAGTGTTTAGGCCTGGATTGGACTGGACCGGGATGGGGCCATAGCCCCAACCCAGCCCATTGCCAACCCTAAGCAAGTGGATTTAACGGATACGCATAACTACTACCCGGCCCTGGCCCGTTGCAATCCCCAAGCAATTGGACTTCACGTGTAGGCATGGTACTTCCATTTACATAAAGCTTACCAAACTGTTGCGAGGATTAAGAAAAAATTTCACTAACTGTTCAGCAGCTTCTTCTTCTTCTTCTTTTCATGGTCTTGCTTTTCAGACCGTTATTGAAGTAACCGAAGCCACGAATACGATTTTTTTCAGAGGTCAGCCAAGATGAAATTTGGTCAGTCGATCCTTTTCAATTGCTCAGTCCGTCTAGCTCTTGGCTAGTCTTTTTTTTTTTTTTCAATAAAGCAACACCCTCTACCGATCGCTTGATGGACGGCACATATCCATTGCTGCACAACAATGATGTTTTATTTTTGTGCACGCTTAAAAGGGAGTTCAATGAAGATGCAGATTATTTTGGCTAAACAGGGGTATCTCGTAATTTTTGGTGGTTAACAGATCTAAAGTTCTAGGATATTTTGAGATGTGTTTTAAAATATTGTATCTCGTTTTCATCTGATACTAACGAAAGGAACGTTAGTTAAAATAAAGAATATATATTTTACCTCTCTCAAAGTACACAAATAAATTTCATATGGTTAAAGCTAAGTTACACTTTATATAAGGCTGCAAAATATAGAATTAGAAAAGTCTTCCCAACGCGAAAATGAATAGTAATTTCACCTGCCCTCATCACCGTCCAAATTTTATCGTACGATCATGAGTTTCCAGTAGTATTTTATTTTTCATTTTTTTTTACAAATCAGAATGACCTAAATTTTAAAGATATGTACATCTTACTTATGCGCATCTAATAAAAACATTAAAAAAATTATCCACTAAAAAAATTGATGAAAATACCCCCAAAACTTTCCAGAACATTTTGATTAATTGTTTTCATGTAAAATATTTTTTATATATTTTTCAAAAATTCATCTATTTTTTATAAATATGCACTTCAAATTTCAAATCATTCTGATTTGTAAAAATAAAAAATAAAAAATAAAAAACTACCGAATAATTATGACCGCACGATGAACTTTGAACGACGATGGAAGTAAACGAAATCACTGTTCATTTTCGCCAATAGACGTTGCATAGTATTTTCCATATATATAATTTTCGCCTATAGACGTTGCATAATATTTTCCATATATATATATATATATATATATATATATATATATA